GCTCTCTCTATTAGCGTACGGTTCATACGCTCTGCAATTCCATTTTGCTGAGGAGTGTATGTGTTCGACGTTTGATGATGTACGCCCTCACTTCTGCAGAATTCTTCAAAAGATTTGCTGCAATATTCCGTCCCATTATCTGTCCTGATTGCTTTTATTTTTCTCTCGGTTTGGATCTCGACAAGCTTCTTGAATTCTCTGAATCGCTTCAGTATTTCAGATTTTGACCTTAAAAAATAAACAAAAACTTTTCGTGAAAAATCGTCTATAAGCGTTAAAAGATACCTGGCTCCTCCAATCGAAGCATTTTCCATCGGTCCACAGATATCCGAGTGAATTAAGTCCAAGGTATGCTTTGCCCCCTTTTTGGAAGCCTTAAATGGAAGTCTAGCATGTTTGCCTTGCATACAAACTTCGCATCGCATAACCTCTTCAATGCCATCAATAAAATTTACTCCATCTACTGCGCCATCACGCATCTTGCACAAGTCGCCATGGTTGACATGGGCTAGTCGACGATGCCAGTTACCGCACTGTCGCCGGTGATAGATAGCATACACGGTGGAACGATACTTGGAAGATGATACACTCCACCAGATGGTTTTACCTTGACCAGACAATTTCCATTTTTGCCAAAAATAGAGCATCCATCAACATCAAATACTATGGTATTTCCATTTTTTATCATTTGATTGACTGAAAGTATGTTTGTTGACAATTCCGGAACATGTAGAACATCCTTTACTTCGACATCCTCATCGTTCACCCTGAGAACAACTTTCCCAGATCCTGAGACCGCCATTTTATGGTTATTGGCAGTAACAATTTCTGTCACTGATGTAGATTTCAATTCACTTAACCAATTTGCGTTAGACGTCATATGCTGTGACGCGCCGCTATCTATATACCAACTATTTCGATTTTGTGTTGCTTTAGATAAGAATACTGCACTGAATGCGTTTCTACTTTCCTTTTTATCTTTACTTGCTCTGTCCGACTTATCGACGACTGCCGCCTTTTCTTTCTTGTTATCTTTCTTGAAATCTTTAGCGTACCTGCATTGATTTGACTTGTGACCCTTTTTGCCACACTTGTAACATTTTGGCGTTCCGACATCGGAGCTCTTTGATTTTTTATCCTTTGTCGCATTTCTACCGAGAAAGGCATGATGAGATTCCTTTTGATATGCCGTGTCAATGAGTTTCGTTTTAACAGCATCCGACGTTGTCTTTATTCCGCTGCCTTCGAAGCCCATCGCTAAAGGTTTGAATTCCTCCGTGAGACCAGCCAGCATAATCGCACCAACTAACTCATCTCCAATGTTGAGTCCAATATTATTCAACTTATTGGCAGCTCCTGAAATTTCACTTACATAATCGGACATTGACTCGCAGTTTTCAAGACGTATATTAATCAATTTTTGTATTAACCCGATTTTATGCGTGGCACCCGTATTTTCAAATAGTTTCTCGAGTGTATCCCACATTTTTGCTGCATTTCTAGAATTTTCTACGTGTACATACAGTGATTCATTGATACCGAGCAGAATTCTACCTTTGGCCTTCTTTTGCTTCTCTGTGTCCGCTTCTCCGCTACCACCAGTAATGATGCATTTGTCTAGACCATGGAGATCCAGCATCGCACGCATGGCCATTGACCACGTGTGATAATTTTCGGCACCTCGAAGTTTACTTATGGACAACCACGACTCTCCACTCGAAGCCATGACGAGAGGTCATATTAGAGTGTATAGAAAGACGTGTATAGAAAATTCTCGATCGCTTATATCAGCATCAACAGTAGCAAAAAAATCTTCGCAACACGCACGTATTTGTGAGCTTTATATCATTACGTATTACAAATGCAGTTTGTGACTCTCCGTTTAATAAGTATCTGTACTCACTTAATCCTATTGAGTAATTAATTAACACGCGGTTCTGGCCCATAACCTGTTAGAATCAGGCGGGTTAGAGAGAACACGTCTGTTAGCAGCGAAAGCCAAATAGAAAGTAATTTATTACAGAGACATCAGTAATATGCGCGTGAATACAGATAACGTAGATAATACCAAACAATGTAGGTAATACAGATTCCTTACAACAAAATCCTACCAGGTATATAAAAGATTTTTTCTAGGTATGATTTAAATTGTGATTAAATAGTATATAAAATTTTGAGTAATAAGAGGATGCATTGGCCCATTCAGCACTTATTTAAGAAGTGAACAATAAAAAATTGAGAGAAAATGTAATTAATAAAAACTATCTAGTGATTGAATATAGAATTTTCGGTAGCAGAAGCCATCCAAGTATTAGATAGAAAATATGAGTGAGAAAAATTAATGTAATAAAATGATTTTTTTTTATATTCGCTATCTAGTGTAAGGCAGACAGTTACTAGCTAATTTTTCTTATACAGCTACTAGATAATATTTTTTAAGTAGCTAATTTTCCGTATAAAGCTGCTAGGAGAGGTGAGCGTTATATTTTACACTAGCTAATTTTTTTTGTACAGCTACTAGCTAATTTTTACATTTTATGTCTAACCACTAACTAATTTTTTCTGTATAGCTACTAGCTAATTTTTCGTATACAGCTACTGGGAGAAGTGAGCGTTACATTTTCCGCAGAGTAGCTATCTAGAGACACTAGATAGTAGCTAGATAAGTCACAACTTTTCTTTCTTATGACTAGATCAGCATAAGGTTTAATTTCTACTCGGGCATTTGTAAATCTTCTCTCTCTCTTAATGATTACTGGTTCTATGAGGAATTACGATTTCAAAAACATATTCAGTCTACTAAAAACGGATTTTTTTTTTATATGAATCGATTAGAAATAATAAGCATTGGATAAAAAGTTATCTGTCCATGTGATGGTTTGCATGCAGTAGCAATATTTTGTTTTGTATCTAATATCATTGGGCGCATTCAGCGGACTCAACAGTTGAGTGAGCGTTCGCTATTATTGGTGTATTCCTCCAGATCTAAAATTCTGATTGGATGATCTAAAAGAATACATCAATAACAGCGAGCGCTCACTCAACTGTTGAGTTCGCTGAACGCGCCCATTGTATGTATACGTAACACGGAACTTTTTAATCAATGCTTATGATTAGTCAAACTTTAAATGATTATACTTAAAAACTTACTTTACGGGAAAAAATGGCTTAGATTTTTGGTACTTAATTTTTCACGAAGTTTCACGCTGCAATAAGATTATCCTCGAATTTCCGAAAACTATGTATTACACATTTTATCAAATATATTTTTTACTTTTTATGCAAAATTCATAGTTCATGTTTATCTTAAGACGGATTTAAGTAATGACTTAAGATGCTAATACATATAGCCTTCTGATTAATTTATGACGTCTTAAGATTGTATTTAAGACAATTTTGAATACATATAAGAACTGATTATAAAGATCGATCTTAGTTCTCATTTTACATATGAATTATCTTACGATAATTATATTCGTCTTTTTCTATTTTTTCCAGATGATTGGCATCATCTTCGCATTATGTCTGGCAAATTCCATAAAGAACGCCGAACGCAGAGGCTACAGTGTGTAAAAGTGCAACTTTGTGAAGGACGTCATTTCAAGATGCTTTTGATACATAATAATCTTACCTTTATTTTACCACTGTCAATGTACTTGCCTATAAGGTGTGATAAAATGTTTGCACTTTACAACAAGATAAAGTATATATTTTTTCTTTTTCTAAGCGGATTAGAGCCAGAGTATTTCTTTATATTTTTATTTCTTGTTTCTTTGCAGTGATTAAAATAAAACGGTAAAGCTTTTTTTTCGATTAAATGACATATTTTTGTTTTCCGATTATAAAAATTAATGTAAAGTTTGGCGCATGATTTGGCAACGAGTTTACTATATAATTGTTATTGGGACTTAGATCATATTTCTTTTCTTTGTAAAAATAATTCTTTTATATAGTTATATGTTGCGACCGTACTTACGAGTAACGGTACAACTTTGTCGCTTTTCTAACTCTCAATTACTCTCAAAGTTGGACGCCAGGCACGAAAGAGCGTGCTACTCTTCGCTACTCTATTATAATTCTCTAAAATCTGTTGCTGTAAATATTACTAACCTCACGCTAATAGCGATGGCGATAATCGGTAAGCTCAGCTACCGAATTGGTAGAGGGGGCGGTTCGTGTGAGCGGAAAAGGATCGAGGAACGAGAGAGAGAGCGCAACAATTACACCAAAATTAATAAACAAACGGACATGACATTTAATCGACAGTATTACTTTGACATATAATCGTGACCGCAGTTTATATTCATTGCTGGAGGGAGACGGTAACCGTCTCGCGGATATCGTCGAGCCGCGGTAACCGTAATCATTTATTCAACATGAATCATGATTTTTCCCGCTAAAACAATTGCTCTGTTTAGTATTTGTGAATTGGCCGTTGACGCCCGGCTGATTTTTAGCAGCGTCTGACCCCACGCGTCTTCCCGGAATGCTCGGAATCGGGAAGCGTGGTCGAGACAACGCGTCTCTGCAGTTCTCGTAAATAAGAAGCCACTGATTGCTGTGGCAGCCACCGTTGAGACAATGAAGGACGTGAATCGAAGGGTTGTACATGAAAACCACTCGCGATATACCTTTCGAGACTTTATTTGTTGGTCGTACAATACCACCGATCTGTATGGTGACCGCGATTAATCCATTCTGGCTTGCACGAACAAGCTGGTAAAACGAATGCGTTCGACGACGCCCGGAAACGCCCGAAAGGATCGCCGAAGCCCCGCGAGAGCGTCCTGCACGCTCAAAAAGTGCCGGTTGCGGCAGCAGGCGAAAACTATGAGCCAGGGCTCGATACGATGCACGACAAACCCCGTAGCAACCACTAATATATCAAACAAACGCCGCCCCCGTTGAAAGGAGCTACTTTCAAGATTAGCACGAGTAAAATATGAATTGTTCTTAACGAACCGTCTTAATGCTAACTTATGTCTAGTACAAAATGAACGCTATTTATCTATAGGGAGAATTGCGATTTTAGTTAACGGCCTAGTATATTGTCCATTTGCCGTGCGGACAGTGGCCGCTCGCGCGACTCCGTCAGATCCTGCATGGATCTTCTCCACTCGGCCCAACAACCATTGGAGAGGGGCCAGTCCTTGTTGCTTTATCAAAACCATCTGATTTGGTTGCAGTTGTTCGCCTTTGTTAGCTCTCCATTTGCCTCGTTCCTGGAGGGTGTTCAGGTATTCCTGGCTCCATCTGCGCCAGAAGTGCTGCCTCGTCTGCTCGACTCGCTGCCAACGCAACAATCTGTTTTCGTTAACATTAGTCAAATCGTGATAGGGGAAACTATTCAGGGCGGTGCCGATCAGAAAATGGCCCGGACTTAAAAAACTTAAATCGTTCGGATCCTCACTTAGAGGAGTGAAAGGACGGGAATTAAAAATCGCCTCTATTTCGCAAAAAGTTGTTTGCAATTCCTCGAACGTCAACGACGCCTTCCCGGCCACTCGACTAAGATGCCGCTTAGCGGACTTGACGGCGGCTTCCCAAAGGCCTCCAAAGTGAGGCGCGTTGGGCGGAATGAACTTCCAATCGGTCTCCTGATCGCGAAGGAGTTGCGCTACTTCGAGCTGCGCTTGCTCGTTATGTAAAAAAATCACGGAGTTCCTTGAGCTGCGCCTGTGCGCCCACGAAGTTTTTTCCATTATCGGAATATATGCAAGATGGTTTCCCTCTGTGGGATACGAAACGCTTCAACGCCGCTATGAACGCTTCAGTAGTGAGATCGCTAACGAGCTCTAAATGAACACATTTCGTAGAAAAACACACAAATAAGGCTAAGTACGCCTTATGCGTACGCGCATTTCGTCTTTTAGATTCACGCACTATAAATGGACCCGCATAGTCCACGCCGCAATGCATGAAGGGTCTCGAAGCAGTTACCCGTCCCGCCGGTAGGGCTGCCATGATAGCCTCCGATTGAGTTGGGTGACTTTTAAAGCACACCATGCAACTTCTGATTAGTTTTCGGACGGCCGATCTTAATCCTATCGGCCAATAACGATATCTCACCGCCGCCATCGTGGCCTGCACGCCCGCGTGAGCATTTCGCTCGTGTTCTTGCAATATTATTTGCCGTGTTAAAACGTGATTACGCGGTAATAAAATTGGATGACGCGCCTCATAATTCAACTCCGAGTTGACCAGTCTCCCCCCCACTCGTATTAGCCCTTCCTTGCAAATGAACGGGGATAAAGCCAGCACATTGCTGGACGTCTGAAGAACGCGGCCTTCGCTGAGGGCCTTGTATTCAGCGGGGAACGCCTGGCGTTGTACCGCTTTGCATATGATTCGTAACGCGTTAAGCATCTCATGATGAGAGACAACGCTTGAAATTTCGCGGGGGCGATGGGACTTGGAAAATCTTAAGCAGTACGCGATGATGCGGCATGCTTTGGTGAGCCTTGAATGTCGGTTTAGCAACTCGTCCACGATAGAATGATCCAATACCGCGACAGTCGCAATACACTTCCTCTGCTCCGGAAAGTCATCTAGAGAGCACACGAACGCGGATTCGGGCCACAAGTCAGAATTGTGTTGCAAGAAGGTAGGCCCGTGCCACCACGTTGTTGCCTCTGGTAAATCTCGAGGGTCGAGCCCTCTTGATAAAAGATCCGCCGGATTGTCCTCCGATCGGACGTGACGCCAGCTCCGCGGATCCGTCAAACTTTGGATCTCTCCAATCCTGTGAGACACGAATACAGACCATCTTCGCGACGGAGACGCGATCCAATTTAACACGACCGTGGAATCTGACCAATGATACATTCGGATATCGGTCACATCGAATACTGATTTAATTTTGTGCATCAGCCTCGCCAACAATAGTGCTGCCGAAAGCTCGAGACGCGGTAGGGAAAGCACTTTGAGAGGCGCCACCCGAGATTTAGAGCATAGTAACTCGATCCGGTAGTTACCGTCTGGAATTTCTGATCGCAGATAAACACACGCTCCGTTTGCCTGCTGGCTCGCGTCACAAAAGCCGTGTATCTGCACTAATCGAGAATCAATAGAATGCTTGACGCAACGGGGAATATTGAGCCGATTGATATCAGCCAAATGCGACCTGATGGCCGCCCACCTCGCGTGCAATTCCTGTGGAACCGATTCATCCTAGTGAATGCCGAGTTGCCAGAGCTCCTGAAGAATTAGCTTGGCCCGCACGGTCACCGGCCCCAGAAGACCAAGGGGATCGAAGATTCTGGAATTTTCTGATAATATGATTCGTTTGGATGGTATCATGGAATTGTCGTCAGGCTCGTAATAGAAACGGAAGGTATCCTGTGAGTGGATCCAATGAATGCCTAATACAGACGATTCCGGACCATTATGAATTATAACCGGGTCGTTATTCTGATTTTTCACTCCGGCTAATAACTCGGGGCAGCTAGAGGCCCATTTACCGAGCTCAAAGGCGGCAGAGCGTAACACTTCGATTGTTTCATCCCGGATTGCTAATGCCTCATCAATTGTGTCCGCCCCGGTAAGCATATCGTCGACATAGAAATCACGCCCGACGCACGTGGCCCCGCGAGGCCAATTGACTGCACAATGCTCGGATAACCACTTTAAACATCGCGTGGCTAAAAACGACGCAGGCGATGTACCATACGTCAAAGTGAGAAGTTCGTAAACTATGATGTCCGAAGTGGACTGGTTGCGCCAGAGAATGCGCTGATAATTTGTTTGCGACGGATGCACCAACACCTGGCGGTACATTTTCACTATGTCGGCTGATAGAGCGAAACGAAATGTTCGAAAGCGTACCAGAATGGTAAACAAATCCTGTTGGACAGTAGGACCGACCATGAGGACGTCATTTAATGAGACGCCAGTCGCGTCCTTGGCGGAAGCGTCGAAGACGACACGGAATTTACCAGAGGCTGGCGCCTTGGTAATGCAATGATGAGGCAGGTGAAAGGATTCCGAAACCTCTCCGCCCCCTTCGTTGATCTTCTTCATGTGACCCAGGGCGCTGTACTCGTCTATGAATTGCGAGTATCGCTCTTTCAATTGTGGATCACGGTTAAAGCGTTTTTCGATGCCCCTAAGTTGCTTTAACGCGATGTCCCTGTCACCGACGAATTTAGGAGGCATAGGCCCCTTAAAGGACAATTTAACAACGAATCGGCCTTGCTCGGCACGAGACACGTTTTGCACGAAATGTTGTTCGCAGAATGCCTCATCAGCAGTGTGAACGCTGGAGGTCGTAGCAATGTCTTCTATCTCCCAAAAGCGTGAGAGTTGATCATGTAATTGCACGTTACTAATTGATGCGTGAAAAGAATGTATATTTGATGACGATCCTGATGGGTTGTGCGATCGACCGGCTAAGCTCCACCCGAAACGCGTTTTTTGTAATGTAGGGCACGCTGACGATGCCCTTATCTGCCCAACGCAAATCAAATTCCAAAAATGCTCTGCGCCAATCAGGACGTCAATTTCCGATGCGACGTGAAATTGGGGGTCGGCCAACTCGAAATTATGAGGAATCTCAAAGGCGTTTCTCTTAAACGAAACTGCCGGAAGCCTACCGGTTATGCGCTCTGTGACAATCCAGTCTAATGCAAAGCTAAATGCATTTGTGCGCGAATGTAGCCTTATGTTAGCTGCCTGGAATGACCGCGTGGTGGTATTATTTATACCAGATATAGATACGTCTGAGGAACGAGCTTTAATATTGAATGATTCCATGAACCGTCGCGAAACGAAATTAGCCTGAGAGCCGGAGTCCAATAATATGCGGCAGGACTTACGCCGACCCTCACTGTCGTATGCGAATGCGATCGCGGTTGAGAGCATCACGTCACTGTGATCAGAGGCGATACTGTTGCTCATGACGATGGCGGTGGAGCCACCCGCAGATGCCGTTTCGTCAACGACACGACTCTGTTCCACGGGCGGATTAGATTGAGCCGATGCTGCGGCTGGTATATGTAGCAATGTATTGTGCTTGCCTTTGCAAACCTTGCAACTGCCTGAAGGGCATTTATTTGCAACATGATCTGTCGCTCTTAAACAATTGACAAAAATTTTGCGTTTCTTAATTTCTGAGATCCTTTGTGGGACGGGCAATGCTAAAAACCCCTCGCAATGATACACGAGATGCTCGGATTTGCAAAACACGCACTTCGCCTTTATGGACGCCACGCAGGATTGATGCTTCGTATTTGCTTGCGATTGTGATCGCGGATTTACATTTTTTGCTTTGCTACTAGTTTCGAGCATTACACAACAATGAGCGATGAAATCTGTAAACTGTTTTAACGTGTGTAATTCGGTACCGGTCAATGACAGCTGCCACTCTCTCGAGGTAAGCGCATCGAGTTTGGAGCTTAAAATGTACACTAATAAATCATCCCAATGTGATGTGGGACGATTTAGCGCCCGTAGGGCATGTATGTGCCTGTTGGCGCCATCTGCGATTTGACGCAGTTCGGAAATATTTTCCTTTGCCATGGATGGAATTCCATAATAGCCTTTATGTGGCTCTGAACAATGGCACATCTGTTATCATAGCGATCCTTGAGGAGGGACCACGCCACTGCATAATTTGCTTTTGAAATTTCTAGCGCGCTAATTATTTGAGCCGCATCTCCGGTGAGAGAAGCCCTAAGATATTGCAACCTTTGAATGTCGCTTAACGACGCGTTTACATGAATGAGAGAATTGAAGCTGTCAAAGAAGGGGCACCATTCGTCATATTTCCCGGAAAACTTTGGCAATTCTAATTTAGGCAGCCTTATATGACTAAAATTATGCGTGGCCGCACTACCGGAAAACGATGGCGAAGGTGAAGCCGCAGCGCGCGACGCCGTTGTCGGATTGAGCATCTCGCGTATCCGCGCCGACAACGCGTAATATGAATCTTCGAACGCGACGCGATGTGCCGCTTCGGATTCGTCCTGCTCCTCTAATCTCGTTTGCACGGCATCGTATTCTGACCAATAACCGTCGAGCTTAGATCGGCGTTCCTCGAGCTGTGCCGCGATGGACGGCGTCACGGAAGTCACGGACTCCGCGAATGTGCGTATCCGCGTGCATGCCGCGAGAATCGTACCGCGCCTGCGCTTGAAAGAGACGGAATCGCCGTCGTTATTGTTCGCCATGACGCGCGAAAAGGAAAATGACTATGACCCTGCAATTCGATCGGCACTGACACTGATAGTTGCCTCTACCTTACAATAGGTCGTTTGCGTATGGCCGCACGAAGACGCCAGTCGTCGATGATGTGCCGAACAGTCCTTCCTTCCTTCCTTGCTTCCTTCTGGTGAGAGACGAAGTCGCCGGAAATGGACGATATGGCAAGATGGCGATGAAAGTCCGCCGTCTCGTACTAATGGCTGCTGCCTGATTGACTTAATGGCCGCCGCTGCTGTTGCACGCGGCAGATGCCGATTATCCAGTTAAAAACTCTGTTTGCAAGCCTCAAAACTCTGCTTACGAGCCTCGATGGGCCGTGGATGTGGCGGTTGCTAATGGCTGAGCAACCGGCGTGGAATGCGGTCTGTGCCGACAGTCGGCGAGTCTCGGATGCTTATGTCGTACTCACGGTGGCGAGGTGGATTATTAGATAATCCGGCTCGAAGGACCAAATGTTCAGTATTTGTGAATTGGCCGTTGACGCCCGGCTGATTTTTAGCAGCGTCTGGCCCCACGCGTCTTCCCGGAATGCTCGGAATCGGGAAGCGTGGTCGAGACAACGCGTCTCTGCAGTTCTCGTAAATAAGAAGCCACTGATTGCTGTGGCAGCCACCGTTGAGACAATGAAGGACGTGAATCGAAGGGTTGTACATGAAAACCACTCGCGATATACCTTTCGAGACTTTATTTGTTGGTCGTACAATACCACCGATCTGTATGATGACCGCGATTAATCCACTCTGGCTTGCACAAACAAGCCGGTAAAACGAATGCGTTCGACGACGCCCGGAAACGCCCGAAAGGATCGCCGAAGCCCCTGCACGCTCGAAAAGTGCCGGTTGCGGCAGCAGGCGAAAACTATGAGCCAGGGCTCGATATGATGCACGACAAACCCCGTAGCAACCACTAATATATCAAACATGCTCTGATTCTAACAAATACGGAGAATTCTAACTCGACGACATTACTTGTTCGACCTAGAGGTGATAGCACGAACAATTACGCAATTATCAAACATATGATACACGGTGGGCGGTATTCATAGTCCGTTCTTATATTCAAGACCGTCTTAAGTTCAGTTTTAAGATGCCCTTTAGGCTGAAATCACACGATGCGGAATAGGACTGCGAAATAGAGAGTGCGTCATTGAAGCAACCAATCAGCGTTATTCCGCATTTTGCTTTCTAGCACTGATTGGTTGCTTCAATGACGCACTCTCTATTCCGCAGTTCTATTCCTTACCGTGTGATTTCAGCCTTAGATTCATAGTCGAAAAATAAGATGGTACTTGAGTAAAACCTCAAGTTAAAACTTATCGAAGACGATCTTATTTCAGAGCATCTTAAGCAATCGCGACATGATTAATAAACGTATCTCATTTGTTCTAAGCACGAGCTTGAGATTGACTTATTGGTTATGAATTCATAGTCATTTAAGATTATCTTATTTGATATATTGTATATTGGTAAATAAGATTGTCTTCGACAAGTCGAGTCGAAGGACGACTTCAGTAAAAATCATATACGTAAAAGGAGTATAAATAGCGGAAACGAGAGTGCATAGCATAATTCAGTTATATTATTTTATAGTAATAATGGATCCAGATAATTTTGAGATTGTTGAAATTCAGGATATTAACTCCTCAAGTGAAGAAGGCGAGATACAAATTCGTGCTCTCAAAAAATATATCCGTGATGGTCAAAATCCATTTGAATTCTTTAATGAACGGGAGTTTAAAAAAAGATTTCGTTTTTCGAAAAACTCTGTTATGTTTGGCATTTTGCCATTAATTGAAGAAGGTTTCGCAAAAATATATAATCGTGGATTACCAATATCCCCAGTGATACAATTATTGATCTGCTTACGCTTTTATGCAACAGCAAGTTTTCAAGTTAGAATATGCCTTATTTTCTGTTTAAATTATGTAATTTGATTGTCACAATAATGTTGAAATGATGTTATCATTTCATATGAAATCTCAGTTACGATGATATAATCTTGATCTTTTCGAGATTACTTGCGTATTAAAATATGACTCACCCTGTATAATAATTTTATTTTTACAACTTATTGTAGGAGATGTATTGTAAGTTTCACAATCCACTATTTCTAGAATCATTTTTCGAGTATCAATTTTAATAGCAAGTCATATTAATCGTTACATAAGAATGCCAATATCAGAAGAAGCACGTACTGAAAACAAACGCTTATACGATGAAAGATATCAACTTTAGATCTCTATATATATATAGGAATCTGTGTTATAATATATTATTAACTACCCAGTAAGCAAAATAATATTCCAGCAATGTTATTGAAATGATATTTAACAACATGTAACATTTTGGAATATGTAGTTGTTAACGTTGTATATAACGTTATCGTAAACAAACTTTGACGTACATTTAGAGATTTCAGTAATGTTGATATGGAATTGCAATATCATTACAACTAATGTTGCGATAATATTTTTATTTCATTAGAACAATGTTGATATAAGGATAAAATATCGTTGGAACTAATGTTGCAGTAATATTTTTCTTACATTAGAACAATATTCATATGATGATGAAATATCGTTGAAACTAATGTTGCGGTAATATTTTTCTTACATTAGAACAATATTCATATAACGATGAAGTAGCAATTTCAACCAAAAAAATTTTTAATTTAATTTTTTAATTCTTTTTTAATTATTTGTATTATGTACGATTTAACTATACATATATCATCTTTCTTATCATGTAATTAATAATAATAACACATTGAACATATATGTTTCTGAAAATGCATATCGACGGGATTCGAACCTAAGATCTCTGGGTGGGAACCTAATACGCTAACGCTGAGCTATAATCGCACGCTTGTTTGAACACTTTGGTATTAGACTGTCATTCGTCTTGATCATATAATGATTCGAATACCGTCGATATCTCATCATATTATGTGTTTTCAGGAATATTGTATGAACATACCTACATATAAGTAAAACAGATTATAATTAAAATATTATAGTTTTCTAGAAAATAACTGCAATGAACATACATATATTTTCTATGTTGAATATGTTCCACGAAAAGTAACTAATAGATCATTCAAGGTGCAAATTCAAAATGAACATACATACATATAAATAAAACAGATTACAATTTGCATATTACAGTTTTCTAAAAAATTTCTGCAATATGTTATTCTTCTAGTGCACAAAATAAAAAAGTCGTTTATTGAGATTTGATTTGAAATTTATTTAATTTATACTAGCCCATGCAATGAAAAATAATTGCTTGTAATTCCAGAGTACCAATCTGTTAATGATTCGGAAAAAGGAAACATGGCCTGCTCTCTAAAGACTGATGAGTTTCTCGTTGTTCACTTAGAAGTAATGTCGAAGCTTTTGTACGGAGTAATTTTTTCGACACTTGAAGTACGAAAAGTATTACTTATAAATAATAAATAATAAGATTAGATTAGAATAAAATAAAGATCCACCGCATTTTCAAAGGCTACATAACGATAACGATGTGAATACATTATGTTGAAATGCCCTTTTCTTATGTACGGAGTAATTATGATTACGATATTTGAAGTGCGAAAGGTATTACATTTAAATAGTAAGATTAGATTAGAATAAAATAAGGACCCACCGTATTTTCAAAAGCTTCATAACGATAACGATGTGAACACACAAAATTATGTTGTAATTCCTTTTACTTATGTCATTCTCAACAATACCAATCGAGGCTTGCTGTCATTAATGCGAATATTTAAATCAATCTTCCAAACACTATTACATTTTGTACTTGCACCGTAAGAATGATGTCACTTTTTTTTCAGAGTTAATTGATAAATTTCTTATCTATGCTATAATCAACTAACTCAAAACCGGAAGTTCAAACAAAAATTAGAAATTCGACTAAAGAAAGATTAAAGTCTTTTAATCTAAAACATTTTCATAACTTCTATTTCAATCATTTATTCCATCCATCGAAAGTCTTTTGAGAGCAGGCCGCCATGTTCTTTTTCCGAGTCATTAACAGATTGGTACTCTGGAATTACAAGCAATTATTTTTCATTGCACGGGCTAGTATAAATTAAATAAATTTCAAATCAAATCTCAATAAACGACTTTTATATTTT